GCATCCTTATCGGAGCAGCCGCCGGGCAGCCTTAATCCAATGCCGACGAGCGCGACGTCCATCTACCTCTCTCTATCTCTGACCGTGTACAATCCCCGAAAGCCCACGTCTCGCTCCCTTTCCGTTCGTTGGCCGTGGCTTCTCCCGCCGTGTCACTGTTGAAGAAACAACGCGCGGAAACGCTAGATCTGAACCGTAAGTAAAGGCGCGCGCGACTTATCAACTCCACAGCCATCCAGGGGTTAGGGTTTCGGCCGACCATTCCGCACACCGATTATCCCGGATCCAGAGCAGCACTTGCTAAGAAAGTCAGCTTCTGCATATGTATTACAGTACGTAGGAATGGCTTGCATCGCCATTAAGCAATGAGCTTGCGACAGCGTCAGATAGTCAGTGAATGTAAACCTCTGCCGAGGCGTGACATGCGTGACACCAGAAGTACCGACGTCGATACTCTTCCAAGCGTTCCCATGCGTTTCTTTCACCCTTTCAATTTCAGTTAGGCCTCAGACGAATATCTGGGCATCTGACTCCATGTTTGTCTTGTCCTTGCCAGTTCCATTGTGTCTACATGGTTTTATTTAACCTAGCCACCAAGGAAAAGGATGGATTTGCTTAGCTGTAGTGAGACGCTAAAATGCTCAGCAACTATTAATGATGTGTTCATGTCCAACTTCAGTACAATCCGAAACCACCACCCCAGCCAATGAAGGAGACTCTCTTCAATTTTTTAATTCCTTGCCGATATTTGTTACACAGCGTTAAGTGCTACATGAGCGCAGTGAAGTAAACTAGGCCTTGCTTTACACAGACTCTTGGGTCGTTGCCTTGCAGAAACCCCGTCCACACTCAAGATTGTTCGTAACAGTCGACACTCAACGCGCGGCTTTGTCGTAGCGTCGGAGTTATGTAATCTTGCTGATGTCATCCGCTGCTAAATTACACCCATCCCTAACCCTTACAGTCGCGCCGAGGCCCACATTTGGCAGATTTTCGGGACGAGCTTTTGGCCTTTCAATTATCTTTCTTCAATCGCCAGGACCAAGCGCCCGCAGGAACGATCGGAAGCAGCAGCGAGCTCCTGCGACACATCCATGCGAACCGGCTCAGCAGCGTGGACTGAAGTGACCATAGCGTTTTCCCTATTTTGACTACGTCGCGCAAAGGGGGCAAGGTTTGGACGGTGCTGACAGTATCACGGAATAGAGCTTTGTGAACGAGCGCAGTTCCTGCTGAGCTCAAGAGCTGGGAAGCGGTCGCTGTTGCCCTGCTCATATTTCGCTTTAACCGCTACTACTGGTACATGCCGCCCGCCGACGGGGCTGCGTGCCGTCGGACAAAAACAACGCAGTCCACGTGACTCACCTCGGTCTCCAAATCGAGCAACTCGCGCTGTCGCTGTCAACCCTGGGAAGTACGCGAGATATGGCCTCGTCGAATAACCTCACAGAGGTTTATAAGGTACGTGAGCGATAATGGCGCCAAGTGCGATCGTGGAGATGGTCAGACGGGGCTGATGGAAAGTACGCCAAATGGACAATGTCGATTCTCAATTGAATATATTTGTATAACCGGCACCACCAATTCTATTTTCTTTACGTGCTGGTCAGAAGAGCCCACCTTGGCAGGTGCTCGGAGCTCCTTTATATTGCATATGCATTGAAGTAGCGCTTCAGTAGCCATCTGCGATCCGCAACGCTGGGAATGTACGCCGGTGTTATATTGGTTGAAATCGTTCAGCTGACATGCCGATTGGGGTCAGTCTGGGGTGTACATACGATTGCGTTGACTAGACGATGGCGATGATGAGATCACTAATGCGGCGCTTCTGCCTGTAGTATATTCGCGAGAACCTATCACGGCTCACGATTCCACGGCTGAAAGAGCTTCTGGACATCATCAACACCGCCAAGTCGGGTAACAAGCCAGAGTTGAAAAGAAAAATCGAGTCCTACCTGGATATCGCATGGGCACGCCCTACAGATCTTGGGACACAGCAGAGAGTGAACAAGATGCACAAGGCCATTGCTGGATGGTGTAACCCCCCTGAGTAGGTGTTGTGTATCTTCGCTAATTGAACTGGATATGATGGTGGTCGATTGCGCGACACCATGTCCTGAGTTGAGCTTATTATATACCGTGCTTTGCTTCTATTACGAGACCTATTACGTCCCGAAGTAGCGCAAGGATGTGTGAACATTCACGGAGCGCTTGCATCGCGTATCGACGATTCTAACTGTTGTTACTTTAGGGGCCGGTATAATGGGTATTCATCACCGGCGGCACCTTCGTATGGTGCGCATCCATCAGCCGCATACGGTGCCATACCCCAGATTCCTCCTTTCCAGCCGCCCGCGCATCTTGCTACTCGGTTTAGCCCGTCTCCCTTTTGGGAAGTTGAAGAAAATCTCAAGCCTTTCAAGATTATCGATCTCACCGGTGTTCAACCTGGGTCAGGCTTTGTACTCCTAGTAACAATCCCTGTTACATATCAGCAACGCCTCCAGCAGAAAGACACAAAGGACGAGCATCAGATCTTAGTGTTTGTAGGTCCAATGGAGCCTCATGGTGATTCGATATCGCCGGAGTGGCCACAACCATGCGAGCTTTGGGTCAACAAAGAGAAGACAGAGTCAAAGGTGAAGACGCACTCGCGTACCTTCCCAAGCTCTATTAGCTGATGCCACATACCGTAGAAATTTATAGGCTTGAAGGGTAAGCCTTGGACGGGACAACCGGCCAACATTACGCGCTTCTGCAGTTTGAAGAAGGTACAACCGCAACATATTGAACTCCGGGTCGGTCAGCTGCCATCCAAAATTAATGCCAAAGATGGCAAATCGCAACGATTACAACCCAGGAAATATCTAATGCAGGCGTGCATTGTGAAACGATATCGGATTGAAGATGTTGTAGCACGAATACGGACGGAGAGGATGCTAACTAAAGATCAAGTTTTGGAGCAAAGTAAGTAGTGGACCCGATGTCCCTAATGTTTTGGTGCTAACGACTTCTTTCACTTAGGGCGCCAGCAGGCCATGGAAGACTCGGACGATGTAATTGCTACCTCTGATACCCCAGTTGCACTCCGCGATCCGACGTCGTTCTTGCGAATGAAGCTTCCTAGCCGGCACACTTCTTGCACACACATACAGTGTTTTGATTTGGAGACATTTCTCATATTAAACGATACAGTGCCAACGTGGAGTTGCCCGATTTGCTCGAGAATGATCACTTGGGAAGGGCTTATCGTGGATGGGTAAGTGCGAGTTTTTTGTTTTATCCTTTGCGCAACAGGTCCTCACACGCGCTGGTAGGTATGTGATGGACATCTTAGCGAGCGCACCAGACGACACTGAGGAAGTATTGGTGCGACCGGATTTTACGTGGCACCTACCGGCGCGCAAAGACTACTCAGCGACCAATCCACCCAAATCCACCTCACCCGCTAAGGCTCTGAAACGACAACGTAGCGAATCGTCCGTGGATGCGATCGTTCTTGATTCAGAAGACGAGGAGTCATCAACAAGGCATACGGAACCCCCCACGCAGGATGATGGGCCGACTGAAAACGGCGTGCACTCACAAGAGTCCGACATCATTGACTTGACGCTAAGTGATGATGAGGCAACTACTCCACCAGCCCCCGCACCATTACCGGATAACCTTCCTGTTAGAGCGTCCTTCACGCCATTCCAATCACCCAAGATGTTACCTGCAATCAAACGACGTGAAAGCGAAACAGATCAACCTCCCACTAACAACGGCACACAAATTGCCGATGGCATATCAAACTCAAGCGCGACCCCCACAAACAACACCCTTGGCAACGCCCCTGTTTTCACGTCTTCGTTACGGCCCATTACGCAGGGTCGCTCGTCCCCGCACATACCTCCACAGACGACTCCAACCCCGCATTACTCCCGCCCGACTCAACACGAAACATTGTTAGTAGACGCCGAGTTACGCAAGCAAGGCCGACCTACGATATTTGGTAACGCCGACTGGTACAATGCGCTCGCCAAAATACGAGAAGAGCAGAGACTATTAGCAGCAGCAAGTGGTGTGAATGGAAGTGGTGCCAAGAGGCCTGCTCCGGAAGATTGGGGAGGGCATGAGTTTCGACGCGGGCCTGGTGCGCGCCAATGAAACTCAAATGTACATATCAAGATCCAAATGTCATGTAATTAAACATAACGCAACCTGCTATCAACGATGCCCGAATAGGCATCTCTAATTCCTCATGATCTCTCGAAAATGAAGCGCCCTAGAGCCAGCGCTTGATGTGAACCAACCGCGGAGGGGTTCCTTTCCTACTCCAGAAGGGCATTCAAATGGGTTATATGTGATTTCGCTGGTTGCTCTAGATCTAGATCTTGGAATTGAGCGGCAAGGAATGTGGTGCGGAATGGACAAACGAAGCGCTGATAGCAGCAGCCTCTGAGGCCTCATTCGGCGGGCGTATCTCACTGTTTCAGCCAGGTATAAGGCAGTTCAGGTTGCTGTTTTTCGTGATTAGTCGTCTGGGGTTCAATGCATTCTCCAGGCATTTCGTCGCGTCGTGCATGGGCAATCCCAAAGTGATGGACCACATGGCGCAGGGAACGGCTATACGTCACTAACTCGCCGAAGAGTGGACGCGGGAAAGGCAGTATGATCTACTTTGATTGAAAGCTGTGCGAAGCAAACTCTTCGAGCCGCGCACGCCTGAGACGGCGGATGGAGAGCGGGTTTTGGGCATTTCTCGTCCGGGAGTAATGAAAACAAGTAGTGAAGCGCTGGAAGCTTCCAATCCGGGTATGCGAGCTCCACTGCTAACCCTACCGCATACCCAGTAGACGTCCGGCTTTACTACCGTGGGTACACGGTGGGCATCCTACAATCCCTCCACTACAATACTACGTTCGGCGAGTCGTCACGCACTGATTCCGTCAAACACTCTTGGTGAGCATCCATTGTTTCCTGACTGTTTTGTACTGCCATTGTAGAACTTCAACAGATCCCAGATAGTATAGTGGCTAGTATCTCCCCCTGTCACGGGGAAGACCTGGGTTCGATTCCCAGTCTGGGAGTTTTCGAGCTTTCTTTCTTTTGCAAATTTCATGTCTGAAATATTCCAGAGGGCGTGGACTTCTTCAACATTGTGGTCCTCGTTTTCTGAAAGAGTTGACCTGGCTCCGCCTCCCTAATAAGTTTGGGCGTGTTAATAGCAGTCAAGTTAGCAAGCACAGCATGCAAGAAAGGCAAGGCAAGGGCACGGGGGCTTTGGCGGGTATGGGGAGTGAACATCGCTGCCTTCTACACAGCGTTCCGCTCTGAGGAGCTCCTACACGCGGGCGCTGCTACAACTACCGCATCAACTCAGTCGAAGACTTACCCCTGGTGTGGGTGGGTGGGTAAATTTGTCGGGTCCTGCTTTTTGCTACGCTATTCAGTGCCGGATACGTAGGGAAAAAGTGGGAAATCTATCAACGGCTGCCTTTTATACCCATTTGCCACTTTCTTTTGCCCCTTTTTCCCAGTGTCATTGGTGGCACGAGTTAGTTACTATGGAGACGGTCCACTTGTTCACCGTCTATCGATATCTTTGGTGAGCAGTGGACGAAAATGACGAAGGCCAGACGTCGTACAAGACGCCGCTGTCATCTGCCCAGCGCCCACGCACGCTTGTCTTTGGCGCCAGAGGGACGGATGCGAGGGTACATTTTGGGACAGAAGCAGCTTATTCGTAAAATGTGACGCGTGAGAAAACAACTGTAGTAGCGGGTAATAGAGTCCAACTATACTCTGTCTAGGAGCTTGATGATCCCTAAGCTATTATCGTCGTTGCTCAAAGGTGGCTCTCGGAGCAATGTTTGATGTTGGCTTGTAAACGTGAGTCCGTCAACAACACGACGGGCTTCTTGGACGCACTTCTCCACTTCGTTCCGCAGGTCTTGCCATTCCAAGGTTTGCTCTCGACACAGGAATCTAGCAATCTTCATGCTCGACAATCGCACTTCCCAGAGAGTTTTCTCAGACTTGCCTAAAGTTTGCTGCACCACATGGGAAATGCTGACTCTCGTTGTGGAACTCGGATCTTTCTTTTGTCGAGGAAGTTCCCTAATGTAGCGGGACGTTCCAACGGTGAACCTTCCTCCTGGAACGACGATGGTCTGACTTGGCTTATCGTATCGGAGGTCCGACACCAGTTGACGAATTTCGGTGGGAATCTGATTGACAGGACAGGAGTTGGCTCTACCGAGTCGGATTCTGAAATCTGGTGTGGGGTGAGGGTTGAGGAAAGTTATAATACTATATGTCTTTCGGGCGGATTGATAGGATTTCAGTGTGATGCTAGGCGGCTCTAGAACGGGCCGGGCCATAAGGTCAAAACATGCGAATATTCAGAGCAATGACACCACTCTTACCGGTCTTCATATTAACACCAAGTTTCAGGAATACTCCAAGTGTTGTCCAGTTGTCAGTCAAGTACATTTCCATGATGCGTTCACCCCACGCTGTGACGTTCTTCCATTCCACCTTCGTGTAGCCCAACCCATGGCAACGTTTCTCAAGATTACTCACGCAATTGTCCGGAATGGAGGTGTTGAACAATCCCATATATCGCTGGCTAAAGGGATGCATGTCTGCTGAGCCCGGGTAGAACAGCTGTTTGCCGATAGAGATGCTGAACCGTGCGATAGAGACATAGGGTTCCGGTGCTTCGGCTCTTGTAGCAAAGGAGTAAAGATTATTCGTAATTTGATTCAATATCACTGATTTTGTCCGCCACGAAAATGTTTGAATAGAGCCTTCGGGGTCGATATCAACAAATTTGACCTCACGCTCATCAATTCCAAGTGTACATGCCACGAGCGCATTGCCAGCATGCCTGCGAGGAGACCGATCTTCCACAAAACGCACGGCACATTCGGAAAATCCGCGCTCAAGATTTTCGCATATCGTCCTGGCAGGGCACGTCTGTCGTAGTCGTCCACAAACACATTCTGAACAAGCTTCGTTGCGGCCTCGCACTGATCCGCATTACCCACCACAACGCATAGCATGTTTTCGCGGTCGATGCGAACGGTAGCTTTGGTATTTTGCTGAATGGCCTTGATTGTGACTCCTTTCTTTCCAATCAAGCGTCCAATAGCCGCTTGGTTGGGAATGCGAAGGCATTTGTGCACGCGAGACCGAGCGGGCGAAACGGCTCCTGTGGATGAGCCCGTAACTGACGTTGAGGTACATGTTATTGATCCCACAGAAATGCTTGGCTTGAAGGTGGGCCGTAAAGCATCCGCCAAATTCTCATTAGACGACGGGAAGGTCCCAACCATTTGACCAGCGAGGCCAGTAGTACCTATATTAGGCATCATTCTCTGAGGTAACTGTAACTCGAGAATCTCAACTTTATCCGGTAGAATATCGTCGATCGCCATGGCCGTACCCTTCTCTTACTCGGCTTTCCCGAACTATCGTAACACACCGTGGTCCCTAACGCTACCAATTTGCCCTCATATGGAAATCTGATAGAATCCCAGGACAACCATGACGGACTGACAATGGCCTCGCTGTGGTTCTTAAAGGAGCTGCATGGTGCTGTGTTGAGCTGTCAAATCGGTTGTCAATCGACACAACGCGTTTTGACACCTTCCGCAAAACGTCTCACTGCGACCTGGTTAAAATCAAACTTGACACTGCAGCCATTCGCTGTATTCAAAGTTCACATGGAACAGGTCCAAGATTCACACGTTATTAAAAGCACATAATAAACCAGGTAGTAAACCAAAACTACGTCGGGGCCTACTTTCGCCCGTTTGCTAGCTACACATACAATGGATACACACACACATTCGGTGACAAAAACGCACCGCTTTACGCCTCCAATAGCTATTCACATAATTGCTACGCCAAAATATCCTTTTCGGGGCACACTCGGCTTTGTGCCTCGTGAGACACCTCACGATTCAGGACCGGGTCCCAGACCAACAAAAGTCTCCTTCCAAAGATCATCAATGCCATCACCCAGCCCAATATCCGTCATGGCGTCTACTGTACTAGCTAGGTATTCCAGAATCTTTGTTTGATCATCAGTTGCCATGCGCACGTCGTGATTTCCGATGCCGTGTGGAATATTTGGCGCCTGTGGTTCAAAGCATCCAGAAGCTGCTTCGGTCATTTGCGTATCTTCTGCCTTGAATTCAAGCAATTCCTCCTCGCTTTCTGCCTCATCCGTCGCAGATGTCAACTCTGGCGAGCTTGGAAGTTCTAGCTTAACCATCCCTGCGGAAGTTGGGAGGCTATATAGATCGGTAGGAATGGTATGCTCCCGAGAGCCATAGTTATACTGCGCACGATCAAGGCGTTGATTGAAGATTTTATGGTTGTGCAGGCAATTGGTGTAGACCAGGACATTGTCTAAAAAGAGGTTGCGAAAGATCAGTATGGGCGAGAGAGGTGAAATGGCACCTTTGATACGAACCGGCAGCTAACGGAGACATGATATGCTGAAACCGCCCAACAACATAGAGAACTTCAAGCGCAACATCGACATCATAGCCCGGATTTAAGGCTTTGTCTGTGATAGTCTGGGCAAGGGGCAGCCGTCAGGTTTACTGCTCTCGTACGCTGTAGCGCCATTGCACTTACTCTGAGGGTCAAATCCAAGTCCGCAGTTAACTCCGTGTTATAAGCTCTCACATCCGCGCACCACCTTTTCAGTTCCTCACAGGCTTCTTTATGACCCTCGGGCGTCTTCACTTTGGTGTCGCGCAGAGAAACTAGCCTTTTGCGATTATTCTCTTGTACCTTTAATACTGACTGCAAATAGTTGAAGGCGGGATGCACACCGCTGCTGACGCTGTGAGGAGATCGGCATGGCGACTGGTCTGGCGATCCTTCAGCAGAGGCATTCGGCGTTGGTAGAGGCGACGGGATGGGCAGATGGCAGGCGCTTGGTTTAAGGTTGATGCTCGACTTCATGCATGGCGGGGGAATAGACATGTGCATCGGGCGATGGTGGTGGCATTGAGCGTGATGATGGTGGTGCTGCGCATGGATTTGGTAGGTGTACTGCTGCGACGGGTTGTTACGCGAGAGGTCGTACGCAGATGAGCACGGCAGATACGACGAAAAGTGGGTGGAAAGCGACATGTGTCGAGGCTCCAACGCTGATGGCTTCACACCGGTAGACACGGTATCTGCGCAGGACGCTCGGGTGTCGAGCTCACCGTCCGATACGGGAGAAAACATTGTGGAACTAAATCACGGCTGCTAATTGAAGGTTTAATGAGGGTTTTGGAATATGGTAGTTCGATTTTACGAGTAGGAAATGAGGGTATGGCCATTCAGAAATATTATAGTGCCCGAAGAGCTTGGATGGAGGAAAGTAGCGAGAGTCTAGATTCCCGGTCAGGGCCAAACCAACGAATTAAGGCACCGCGGGGGAATCGGGGGCGTGGGAGGCCCGCGAAAGGGTGCAGCCATCGAATGAATTCATTGATGAATTGGTCTGGCGGGGATCCATGTCCATGTCCAGATGGCATGCAACCGCGGGTAAGTAGTGCCAAAGGGCAGCAGCAAAGCGTGAACGCGATCGCACTGCAGTCACCCCTCGGCTCCGTGGAGCAATCCCTAAATTGACGGAAAAGTGGCTTTACAGGGAAGTAATTAAAAGGCAGTGTTGCGGTGTGGTGGTGGGATGACTCCTGGATGGACTTGGTCTGAAGCCAAGCGGACCAAAGCAGTATCCGTCTGAGGCGAATCAAAGAAGCGCCACGATTTCATCGGATGCCCGACCAAGGATGGGCGGTGACGCAGGGGGGGCTGATTACTTACCCTTTGCAAATTACGATTCATGGACTGATCAGGCACACGTACTTGGACGTTGAGTCTTCAAAGTCCGTGTGCTCTATGTATGATGCAACTGATGTGCCTATTCTCAAGATTAAAATCTAAAACTACCCTTACGGGACCATCTTTCGTGCCCGTCTCCAATGTATGGATCTCACCAGGGTTGCACGCAATGAGGCGAACATCGGTGGTTAACAACACAATGGAAGCAAAACCCCGTGGCATCTAATCATAA